TTGGTTGGAAAGATAAATAAAAATGGGACGGAATTTACAGTGTGGCAAATACCGCATTTTAATACCGTCTATTTTAACTGCTGAAAAGAAAAACATTCAGCTGGTGCGAAAATGAAGCGGAGGAAGGGCGACTAAATGCTTATTTCCTCTGCGAGAGATGTCCACAGAGAATGTTATACTTTTCTGGCTATTCGTCTGCCCATTCGCATGCTTCGCCCGCAACTGCTCGATGAATTTGTTTCGCATTTGAAAGACGGGTCCATGGAATTGATACAGCTGATATTTCGTGCCAGTATATCATCTCATTCACCGAGTAACTGGAGGGTGAGTGCTCCATAAAAAATTTAACCTTCTCTTCTCCGACGCAGTACTAATCTCAAAATATTCTAAAACAGCCCGTTCGATTACAAACCTCCCTCAGCTTTGAACTGACTTGCAACGGACGGCCAACTAGCGATCTGTTTGAATATGCGCATGTCAAAAGCCTGCATAAATATGCTCTATAATATATAACCGACTTCATATGGCACTGCGCTGCTGTTAATCTTCGCAAAATATCGAGAAGCAAGGAAAATGAGGAGAGCTAGAACAGGTGCCGCTAATTAGTACTAGTATGCTTGGCATCATCGGTTTATAACTGATCAAGGTATGGTACTTGGTATATGTTTCCGTAAGAAGCAAGCGTCAATTTCGACTTCATCTGTTCGACTCCCTGCAAATAAGAGAGTACAAGAGAGGCGAAATTCCATGAGGCTTAGCACAAGACCAAAATCCCATACTGATGAATTTGCTTTCTCTCACACATAAGTGCTAAATCATAAAATTACTAAGATTCAGGACAAGAGAGAAGAGGCATACTTCAGAAACCAAGATGAAACAAGAAAGCGGTCAAAAAAATTTCCAGTGCAGAGCACAACCCTCTGCCTTCCCTCTATCAAAACGTTCAGAATCACTCCTATGCCATAAACCTAAGTCCACAGCACTACACAAAAACAAAATTCAATTGTGTGTGATATTCTATGCCAGTAGAATGGTTGGAATATAAAGGAGAGAAAAATCTAAGCAGATACAAGCGCAGAAACGAAGAAAAAATAAAAAACTAGAACGAAACCTTTGCAACATCCGCTGCGGTGACAGAGGCTATCTCTTTGAGCAGATCCGAAACAGCATCAGTTTTACCGGTGGCAAGAATCTGCGCAGCGCGATCCAAAGCAACATTTTCAGATGACTCGGCACGCGTTAAAACATTCATCGTCGCAAGCCTCCTAAAGTTATACTAAGATATGCCAAAAAAGGCAAACTGAGCGGTAGTAGCACAAACAGACAAAAAGTGACTTGGCTGTCTGAAGCGACAAATCATCGATGCTGAACGATTTGATTGCCTTGATTGTCGCATCAAAAACAGGTCCAATATGATCTGCTTCTGCAACTAGATAAACCCCAACGAGTCCTTCGTCGCCGTACACTTCCGAGATTGCAGAATAGCCAAACGGATAGCCACTTGAAGCTCTCTGTAGAAAACCGCAACAGATTAAAAATGCTTTTTTTCCGCCCTTCCAAAACGTGTAAGTTGCAGGCATGTAGCAAAACAAAATCAAGAAAGCACAGCCAAAAACGAGAGTAGTTGCGAAAAAGCAATACCAGGCAACTTACGTATGCTGCTTTAGCAATTGAGCCTTGTCCTGCGCCCAAAGGATATTTCACAGCTGCACCCTGACCAAGCGCAGCGCACAAAACTGCTTGAACAGCTAAGCCCTAAAAAGCACCAATTCATTTTCACAGAAAAGGAAC